TATACCTTGCTGTTAGACATACTGCACCAGGATATTTCTTGTCTCAAAGCCTAGGAGACGATATGTTGTCAAAGGGTTGATGAACAGTACATTACGCAGGCCGAACTCGTAGACAACACCCAGCTCTTCCACAGGGCCCGCAATGGTTGAAGGCACAGTTAAGACCAGTTGATCATGATTAAACCCTGCTCCACGCTGCTACGCTTTTCCTGACTAGTCCATGTTTCCTGACTAGCTGAAAATGCAAAGAGCATGCACGACGACGGGTGCGGGGTACTGTAAGGCAGTGAAATGTGTGCAGGTACACCACTTCATGGTTTTCGTCTGCGTTTGCTTTTAAATGCAACTAGCGTTGGCGTTCAAGTTTCCTTTGCATTTGTGTTGTTTTATATCTCATTTCGCGTGGATTTCATAAAGATCGAGTAACCCAGATGTGGATTCATAGCATTTAAATGTGGCCCTTACATTTCATTTCGTGGTGATTCCACAGTTTTCGTAGAAGCTTTATCATCTTAATTTTGTTTCGTTGTTATGTGTTGTTGGTATTGTTTCGTTAGGGTCAAATTTTCTTCGCGATGAATTGACCAAGCTGAGTTTAATCTTTTCTAGTACCATAGTATCTTTGCTAGAACTCCCTGTACTACGCTGTACTGAGAAGAAAGATCTTATAAATTCTAGAACTTGCACGTGTGTACAGGGTTGACTTGAGTCTGTTCTCTATTCCAGGTACTGCCTGAATCACCGAGGCGAAAATGAGTGACGATGAGGAGCCGGTGTCGGGCAACAAGCCTTTACGCTTGCCAAAGAAAGCTGCGAAAGTCAAGAATAAGGTATTTTTAGGACTAATCTCTTTCTTGCTAGCTTATTACAAAAAAACCGAACACTTCTGTCTTGTTCTTTCAAATCCCATTGCTTTTGTTTTTGCTTTCCTTTACATCAACACTAGCATGTTTTGCTCAGTACACATAAAGTGTGCCTTATTATCACTGCTCCCTACAACCGTTGTCAAGAGACGTACTCTTTCAAAGTATATATTTTCTTTAGGCCCCAGCACAGCTTCAAATCACCGCTGAACAACTTCTTCGCGAAGCCAAAGAGCGTGAATTGGAGTTGATTCCTTTGCCTCCTAAGACAAAAATCACTGATCCTGACGAGTTAGCTGAGTTTCAACGAAAGAAGAGGAAGGAGTTTGAGGATGGAATTCGTAAAAATAGGTGCGTTTAGTGCTGCAATTATTTACTAATTTCGAAATGAGAACAGCGTGGAGCTTGCAAAAGCAGCGATTTGCTTTCCTTCCAGATTTATATTCTGTTTATAGAATGCAGATCGCAAACTGGATCAAATACGGGAAATGGGAAGAGTCCATCGGTGAAATTCAGCGTTCACGGTCGGTATTCGAACGGGCTCTCGATGTTGACCATCGTTCGATCACCATTTGGTTACAGTACGCTGAAATGGAAATGAGGTTTGTGCTATTCATTTTTTTCAACATATTGAGTAAAGAGAGCGGTTGAATTCCAATTTGCCGGTCTCCGCTGTCATCTTTCAGTGGTAATGGAGCTATCATACATTTTGAGCTGCCGTCAGCATCAGTCTTGTCCGTTGGGGGGGGGTGTCAGGGGCGATGAGTTTTTCACGGTGTAAGCCTTTTCTGCAGCGAATAAGGAGTTGGCAAGCGACCACAATTGGTGGAGATAAGGCTGGTTGCGCCAAACCCAGCTCCCGTCCTGAAACACCAGCGTCAGCCGAGGTTAAGGCTGCTGGACTGGAGTCGTTGGTTATTTCAACAAGACAAGCTTGAGCGTTGTTCTATTGTTTCAGTATAGTTCTCAGTTTTGTGAGAGATAGCAGTAGCTCACTCGGTACTACTGCTACTACTTGGTTGCATGTTTTGAAAAGTAAACGTTCTTCGTCCCTATTTTACCATTTGTAATGATTCTTTTCAACTTACCTTCTTACAAAACCATCTTTCACCTTTACTTAACACTTTCAGAAGTAAGCAGATCAATCATGCGCGGAATATCTTCGATCGTGCTGTTACCATACTTCCGCGATGTATGCAATTTTGGCTGAAATACTCCTACATGGAAGAAGTGATTGAGAACGTCCCGGGTGCAAGACAGGTTGGTTTTCTTCAGTATGTGTTGTTCTATTCAGTATTCACCTTTCATTCTTTCATTACGGTTTGATAATCTGGTAAAGATGGGCAAATGTATTGAGTTGGCGAACAAGTTTGTTTTACACCGCCAACTTCTAGGGATTCAGTGGTAGGGACATTACTGACGGGTGGCAGATAATCATGCCAATTAATAAAGATAAGAGGCTATTTCCACTATATTTCTTAACACCTATTACCACTATACTGCCAAATTAGAGGCTTGGTGTGTGTACACACTTTCGATTAGCCATTGCAATATCACAGAATTAAAACTGACCACTGAACTATCTGCCCCTACATGCATTACATGTACAAAATGATGTCCTGGGGATATATTGTGCGCCTGAAAGGTGTAAATCAAGTTAAAAGCAAGAAATTGCGAACCGGACTCAGACCGGAAGAAAAAAGGGATTAGTTCAACGTGAAGATGTTGTATAGATGATTAGCTCTCATAAAGAGTCCACATGTGGTCGTGGCGCATGCTGGGTGGCCAGAACTGGTGACTTAATCGTTTTTGTATTGAAGATTTATGAACGATGGATGGAGTGGGAACCTGATGAGCAAGCATGGCAAACATATATCAACTTCGAATTAAGGTTGGTTTTCTTGGTCTGCAAAGAACAACCCATCTCTTCCATTGCTCAAAATCACATGATTTTAGATATAAAGAAGTTGACCGAGCACGGGCCATATACCAGCGGTTCTTACATGTCCATGGAACAAATGTCAATAATTGGATCAAGTATGCGCGATTCGAGGAGAAACATGGTTATATGTGGGCAACGCAAGCGAGTGGCTAAGAACACTCTCATTTATAGGGATATTGATGAGATATGTCACGGTTTCCTAAGATGCTGCTGAGTGGCGGACAATATTTTGTTACAACTGTAGTGAAGTGATTGTTGAGTTATACATAGTTGTTTTTGGCCATGTGGCCTCAGTTACCCTCAGAGTTTCACACTTTTATGTCAAGAGTTTTTAGTTAGCTTCCGATTTCAGGTCTACGAGCGCGGAATGGAGTATTTTGGAGAGGACAACATCAACGAAAAGCTCCTCGTGGCTTT